CAGTCAAGGCTGGGCAGTGGGTAGGCAGCAGGCAGGCGTCCTGGGGAGACGCCGATGCTCCTGAACGCGTGCCAGCGCCGAGATGCCAGCTGGGCGTCCTCCAGGACGCCATCAGCGAGCGCAGTCCCTGGCTTCGGGCCCCTCTGTTCCTCTGTCGGGAACCGACAGCGTGGAGACAGCACCCCACGCGGGCCAGAGTGCTGGTGTGCACAGCAGGGACGGCAAGGCTCCCCCATCCTGCTTCCGCGGGGCCTGGCCCCCTGCAGAATCCACCAGCTGCCTTGGAGTCACCAGGGCCCAGCATGCGGCGCTGTCCGGAGGCGGCGGCTCTCTCCCAGGCAGCATTCCGGGCCCTTGCTGCCGTGCGCCCCCACCAAGCCCAGCACCACCTCGCTGCCCACTACAGCCGCATCCACCAGGCTCGGGCCCTGCTGCTGGCAGCTTTGCCAGGGAGCCCCAGTTCTGACAGGCGTGCCAGCTTTTCTGCAAGATCCAAACACCCCTGGGTGCCACTGAGGCTCTTCGAGGGTGCCGATCAGGGCAGCTGAGGCACACTGAGCCCTCACTCCAGGCTAAGCACCTGCCAAGAGCTTTCTACCCTTGAGTTCTGCTTAGCCTCACGGCCCTCCCAGGAGACAGGGACGGCCGCTGTCCTGTCCCACAACTGAGGAAACGGAGGCTCAGAGAAGTAAGAAGCTTGCCTGAGGTCACACAGCAAGGCCCAGTGCAGGGGCTGTCTCTGGAGTCCTCTGGGTGCTGTAGCGGCCTCCCCTCCAGCCTCCTCAGTCTGGCTGTGCCTCCCCTTGGCTTGGAGGCCTTGTGCAGCGACAGAGACAGACAGCTGGGGATGGGAGACAGACACATACAGAGACTGACGGAGGGACAGAGAGGACCACCGCGGCAGGAGGGACTGAGCCACCCAAGCCTGGGATGGGACGGTGGGGCTGAGAAGGCTGGGGCCCTGCCATGCGGTCTACGACCCGATCCCTTCTGCCGTCCCTCTGAAGGAGGTGCAGGTGGGCTCAGGGCTGCAGGGCCGACCTCCAAGGCCAGAGAGGGCGTCGACCAGGGCTCAGAGGGCTCCTTGAGTAAGATGCTGCAGGCTCAGGCGATTCCGAGTTTCCCGGGG